TTGGTCTCACAAAGTGCTGGGATTATAGGCGTGAGCTACCGCGCCCGGCCATGTCATTTCTTGTTAGTTTTGTTAAGGTTAAGCATAGCATCATGTAAATGCTATTTGATTCATTTTCTCTTTCTGATCCTAACCTTGTTTGAGTTTTGGGGAAACTTTTAAATTTTGATCAAGGAAATGAAGTTACTAGTAGTGAAAGAAGTAATTAATATTAAGTAACAGGAAGGGAAATTGCATTCAGTTCTCAGTTCAGCATTTCTGATAATGCTGATTTCTTTCTTTCTTTCTTTCTTTCTTTTTTTTGAGATGGAGTCTCACTCTTTTGCCCAGGCTGCAGGGCAGTGGCGCGAATTCGGCTCACTGCAACCTCCGCCTCCTGTGTTCAAGCGATTCTCCTGCCTCAGCCTCCTCAGTAGCTGGGATTACAAGCATGTGCCACCATGCCCGACTATTTTTTGTATTTTTAGCAGATGGGGTTTCACCATGTTGGCCAGGCAGGTCTCAAACTCTTTACCTTGTGATCTGCCTGCCTCGGCCTCCCAAAATGCTGAGATTAAAGGTATGAGCCACCACACTAGGAATATGCTGATTTATTTCTTGGCTAGAAGTTGGCTTGCTTCATGGCTAGTTTTATAGGTACATCATACATCCCTATTTCCCCCTCAGAAGTCATGATGAAATTCACTACTCCAGAGCTCACATTTAAGGGTAGTAACATTTTATCATAAATCATTTTTAAATGTATAGTATTTGAGTAAAACCTTCAGCTGTGGTAAAGAAGTGTCTTCAGCTTGTTAAATTGGGTGTTTGTAAATAGTTGTTTTGTCTTCTTTATTCTAAAATGTGTATGTTTGCTTTGTTTTTAAAGCAATGTGTTTGTTACTGTGACTCTGAAGTGTATTCTCAAAAAAAAGGGGGAAAGTGCAGGGACAGGTTGAGTTTCCAGTGGGGAAGAAAAAAGAAAATGTTATTTATAGGTGGGTAACATGAAAAGTTGGGTTGCCGGGCGCGGTGGCTCAAGCCTGTAATCCCAGCACTTTGGGAGGCCGAGACGGGCGGATCACGAGGTCAGGAGATCGAGACCATCCTGGCTAACACGGTGAAACCCCGTCTCTATTAAGAAATACAAAAAACTAGCCGGGCGAGGTGGCGGGCGCCTGTAGTCCCAGCTACTCGGGAGGCTGAGGCCGGAGAATGGCGTAAACCCGGGAGGCGGAGCTTGCAGTGAGCTGAGATCCGGCCACTGCACTCCAGCCTGGGTGACAGAGCGAGACTCCGTCTCAAAAAAAAAAAAAAAGAAAAGTTGGGTTAACTTTATTTCTTTCCTTTTTTTTTCTTTTTTTTTTTCTTTTTTTTTTATTTTTTAATAATAGGAGACAGGGTCTCCCTGTGTTGCCCAGGCTGGTCCCTCAAGTGATCCTCCTGCCTTGGCCTCCCAAAGTACTGGGATTACAGGCATGAGCCACTACACCCGGACTATCTCTATGTTTTTCAACATACAACTAAATATAGATTTATCTTTGCAGTAGACAAAATGAGTATCAAGTTATTACTATATACAAAATTCTTCAGGAGTTTATTGGCTAAAAAATATGAAAATTCTGTGCTTTAACTAAAATAAAAAATATTGGCTGTATTGGATCAGTTTTTTTGCAGTAGGTCAACCAAGAGAAAGCTTATATTTGGACTTGTTAAAATAGGCTATTTTGAAATCCAGAAATTTGTAAGATAATAAAGACCATTTAACTGTTCCTCATTGTTTGAAACTAATGGAAAAAAAGTGATAAGTATGATTTCTATGAGTAGAATTCCCGACCGTCATCTTTTTTTTTTTTTTTTTTCCTCCAGATTAGATAGTTCTCCCCTTTTTAGACCTCTCAGGAGAAAGGGAATTTTCCTGCCTTTCTTTGTATAGGTGTCTGTGCAGAGATTTGATGGACATACCATACCATACAACTAAGCTTGGACAATTGGCAGTTTTTCTGCATACTCCCAGATTTGGTTTAATCAGGGAATCAGTATGATATATTGAATGGGATTTTATCTGGATAATTATCTTGTTCATCCTGAATTATTAATTGATCCCAATATATGGATCTGACAAATTTTCAAAAGGCTGAGAGTACTGTAAAAAATACTTTTTAAAAGTGTCAGGCTTGGCTGGGTGCAGTGACTCATGCCTGTAATCCCAGCACTTTGGGAGGCTGAGGCGGGTGGATCATGACGTCAGGAGTTCAAGACCACCCTGGCTAATACGGTGATACCCTGTCTCTACTAAAAATACAAAAAATTAGCTGGGCGTGGTGGCGGGTGCCTGTAGTCCCAGCTACTCGGGAGGCTGAGGCAGGAGAATGGCATGAACTCGGGAGGTGGAGCTCGCAGTGAGCCGAGATCGCGCCACTGCGCTCTGGCCTGGGTGACAGAGCAAGACTCTGTCTCAAAAAAAAAAAAAAAAGTGCCAGGCTTGGTGGCTCACGCCTATAATCCCAGCAGGGAGGATTGCTTGAGCCCAAGAGTTAAAGACCAGCCTGAGCAACATAGCAAGACCCCATCTCTACAAATGGTATGTGTCTGCGGTCCCAGCTACCTGGGAGGCTGAGGCAGGAGGATCACTTGATGAGCTCAGGAGTTTGAGGCTGCAGTGAGCCATGATTATGCCACTGTACTCCAGCCTGGGCTGCAGAGCAAGACCTTGTCCCCCTGCTCACTGCCCCCTGCGCAAAAAAAAAAAAAAAAATACTGGTTTTTAGACACAGTTTTAATTTTTGCTTGGGGAGTGGGGAGAGAAAATAGGAATATGATTCCACCATTCCCGGCCCCTATTTATACACATACAATCAGAAAATAATAATTTTAGATCTGTATCTTATAGTCCTATGGAGGGATTATGTTGTGCCTTAACTGTAACCCAAGTCTAGATGTATCCCATCTTAATGAGTTTCGGTTTTACTTTTCTTTAATTATAATTGATTGCTGTTAAATTGGAATGTAGTTACACATAACAGTTAAGCAGGGTTAAAATAATCTTTTTGTCGTTTCAAAATGATAGTTTTATTACTACAGAAAGACTATTTATCCTTAACGTTTGTTATAGTTCATTTCTATTACTAAGTAGTTTGTGTTAATCTCCAGATAGAATATTTCCTTTCAAGGTCCAATTATTTGGTTCTTGTGTAATATTCAACTACTATTGACTATATATAGCTGAAGCTTTCATGTATCACAGGTAGAGTTTTTAACTGCATTCTCTGTATGTCATTATAATTTGGACATCTACATAATTTTCTTATTTTAAGATGCCAAACTAAGCACATTGTAGACATTTTGGATGAAATTGGAACAAATGGGGATTGTGTGCCTTTAATAATAGGTGTGGATTGGCATTTTGACCTTATAGGTTAAAATAAGAGGTGTGGTTAGGGCTGGGCGCGGTGGCTCACGCTTTGGGAGGCTGAGGTGGGCAGATCACTTGAGGTCGAGAATTCTAGACCAGCCTGACCAACAAGGAGAAACCCTGTTTCTACTTAAAAAAAAAAAAAAAAAAAAAAAAATTAACTGGGTGTGGTGGCGCATGCCTGTAATCCTCACTACTTGGGAGACTGAGACAGGAGAATCACTTGAACCTGGGAGGCGGAGGTTGCCGCGAGCCGAGATCGCGCCATTGTGTTCCAGCCTGGGCAACAAGAGTGAAACTGTCTCAAAAAAAGAAAGGTGGCCGGGCGCGGTGGCTCAAGCCTGTAATCCCAGCACTTTGGGAGGCCGAGACGGGCGGATCACGACGTCAGGAGTTCGAGACCATCCTGGCTAACACGGTGAAACCCCGTCTCTACTAAAAAATACAGAAAACTAGCCGGGCGAGGTGGTGGGCGCCTGTAGTCCCAGCTACTCGGGAGGCTGAGGCAGGAGAATGGCGTAAAAACCCGGGAGGCGGAGCATGCAATGAGCTGAGATCCGGCCACTGCACTCCAGCCTGGGCGACACAGCGAGACTCCGTCTCAAAAAAAAAAAAAAAAAAAAAAAAAAGAAAGAAAGGTGTGGTTTAGAGGTTAGAACCACTTGCCTGAATGGTTAAACTAATTAAGCGTTAATTTTAATTAGTCAAATTTGATGAATGCTTTGTTCAAAAAATTTGGGCACCTCATTGAGGAGTCAGTGGATTACCAAGAAATACTTGGTGTTTTTTAAATAATGATGAGCTGTTAGGAGAAGTATTATTTTATCTGTAGCATGCTTCTTGCGTATCCTTACAATTTGTGAAGACAAAATTATTCTTGCAGTTTGATTTCAGATAATAATAATCTACATGACACTTAAGAATTATAAGAGCCAGCTGGGCAGGCACAATGGCTCACACCTGTGATCCCAGCATTTGGGAGACTGAGGTGGGCGGATCACCTGAGGTCAGGAGTTCCAGACCAGCCTGGCCAACATGGTGAAACCCTGTCTTTACTAAAAATACAAAAATTAGCTGGGTGTAGTGGTGGGCACCTGTAAACCTAGCTACTTGGGAGGTTGAGACAGGAGAATTGCTGGAACCCGGGAGGCAGAGGTTGCAGTGAGCTGAGATCAGGCCACTTCACTCCATCATGGGCAACAAAGAGTGAAACTCAGTCTCAAAAGAAAAAAAAGAATTACAGGAGCCAGGTTCACACCTGAGGTGGGAGGACCAGCCTGGGCAACAGACCCTGTCTCTACCAGGAAAAAAAAAAAAAAAATTAGCTGGGTGTGATGGCATGCAGCTGTAGTTAAGAGGCTGAGGTGGGAGGATAGCTTGAGCCTAGGAGGCTGCAGTAACAGAGCAAGACCATGTCTTTTAAAAAAAAAAAAAATTATAGGAAAATGTGAATGCTTTGTCTGAGCATCATACAATTTTGCCATTTTCAGCCCTACCTCCGGTCTGGCAGTAAATCAGCCTAGGATTTTTAGATTTAAAATGAAAAACATAGCTTCAAACTTTGTTCACCAAAACTTAGTATGTATTTCTCTTTTTTTCTTTGCAGAAATGGAATCTATTTGGAATTTGCAGAAGCAAGGTAAGAATGATTAGATTACTTAAAATGTCACTAATAAGTAATCACTGGACATTATTTTTGGGTGGGATTAACAGATGGGTGGTAATTTACCAAATAGACTTTGTATTTTGAGTTATTTAATAACTATAATCAAAAGGCACTAGCAACTGGACTGGGTGGCTCATGCCTGTAATCCCAACACTTTGGGAGGCCAAGGTGGGAGGATTGCTGAAGTCCAGGGGTTCAAGACCAGCCTGGGCAGCATAGCCAGACCCCATCTCTCTCTTTTTTTTTTTGAGACGGAGTCTCGCTCTGTCGCCCAGGCTGGAGTGCAACCCAGCACTTTGGGAGGCCAAGGCGGGCGGATCACAAGGTCAGGAGATCGAGACCATCCTGGCTAACATGGTGAAACCCCGCCTCTACTAAAAATACAAAAAAAAATTCGCCAGGCTTGATGGCGGGTGCCTATAGTCCCACCTCCTGAGTAGGAGAATGGCATGAACCTGGGAGGCAGAGCTTGCAGTGAGCCGAGATCATGCCACTGCACTCCAGCCTGGGCAACAGAGCAAGACTCTGTCTCAAAAAAAAAAAAAATGTAGGGCCAGGCGCGGTGGCTCACAACTGTGATCCCAACACTTTGGGAGGCTGAGGCGGGTGGATCACCCGAGGTCAGGAGTTCAAGACCAGCCTGGCCAACATGGTTAAACCCCATCTTTACTAAAAATACAAAAATTAGCTGGGCATGGTGGCAGGTGCCTATAATCACAGCTACTCGGGAGGCTGAGGCAGGAGAATCACTTGAACCCAGGAGGCGGAGGTTGCGGTGAGCTGAGATTGTACCATTGCACTCCAGCCTGGACAACAAGAGTGAAACTCCATCTCAAAGAAAAAAAAAAAAGTGATAGTATTAAGAGTGAATATGAAAAAAGAAAAAGCGACAAAACGATACTACCATACCACGACTGGTGAGGATGGGGCAATACTGTAAGTGAAAAAAACAGGAAGGTATTCTTTACCTACTAGGTAAAGATACGAATGATTTTTTTTCCCCTCCTGGTTATGAAAGTAAGACAAGCCATAAATGTTTTTAATGTGGGAAACCAACATGAATAAGTATTTCCACTTTGGCTGGTCTTTCTCTGTATTTGTGTGGTAGACAACAAATAGCCTAAGAACTGAAATTCATAGTTCAGAAAAATATTAGCTGTTATAGGAGCCTTATCTGGGCTGGATATTCTCTGAAAAGATGGTTAAAAATTAAAATAGATTATCCTGATTATTGTGTACCTTCTTCCTGAATATATTAAAATATGATTATTGTGGAATACATAAAATAAAGTGAGAGTTTTGTAGTAGTCACTGACAATAGATTTGGGTTTTTGAACCATGGAACTGAATTGTATCCTATTCCTCATTTACTTTGCTCATTAATACAAGTGAGTTTCAGATGGATGTGAAATTCCTAGAATTTCAGAACTTGAAATGTGTAAGAAATTCTCTTATTTTACGTATTAGGAAAATGAGTTCCAGTGAGGTTCCTATAAACTAGAAAGTGGCAGGACTAGAATGTAGGTTCCCCTGATTTCCCAACTTTGCTCTTTCTTCTGGAGTTACTTTCTGTGTATCTTACCAAACAAATGAAAAAAACAGACTGGAAAATACACCCTGCAGGCTGGGCACGGTGGCTCACACTTGTAATCCCAGCACTTTGGGAGGCGGAGGCAGGTGGATCACCTGAGGTTCAGGAGTTCAAGACCAGTCTGGCCAGCATGGTGAAACCCCATTTCTACTAAAACAAAATTAGCCAGGCGTGGTGGCACATGCCTGTAAATCCCAGCTACTAGAGAGGCGGAACCAGGAGAATCGCTTGAACATGAGAGATGGAGGTTGCAGTGAGCTGAGATCACACCATTGCTCTCCAGCCTGGGCAACAGGAACGAAACTTCGCCAAAAAAAAAAGGAAAAGAAAATATACCCGAAAAAGTAGACCTACCTGTCTTTACTGTAAAATGGCCATTAACTCTTTGGAATGAGCATGTTCTTCATGGAGGGTTTCCAGTGGGTGGCCCTAGGAGTCCCAGAAAGGATATTATTATATTATCTCTGGACTAAGCTAGATTGATTGTTAGGCTGAAGTGGACTTGAGTTTTTCCAATATTATTTTCAGGCCTTTAAAATTTTCTATTGGGTAACCAGTTGTATTGACTTGCCTTTTTTTTTTTTTTTTTTTTAAAGCATGTATACTTGAAAAAGTTCTTAGGATAGGTAGAAATTACGTGTGTGTGTGTATATATATATAAAATAGTATATATATAATAAAAACAGTGCCCCTCCAGAAGAGGGGAGCATGCAGCTAAATAGTAAGAATTTAGAATAACCCTGGAGTCTTTGTCCAGACACATTCTAACAGTTTTATATTTTGAATCTGAAAGATCCATAGGCTTCTGTTACTGCTGAGAATAAAGGCTGGTGTTACTGTGGGAAATTGAGTAAGCCTTGATTAGGACTGAATTAGTAGTTTTGCTAATTAATTTAATGTCAAGTTTTTGGTGCCAGGTTTTACTTAGATAGTTCCCACACTGGTTAAAATAAATTTTGACGGGCCAGGTGCGGTGGCTCAAGCCTGTAATCCCAGCACTTTGGGAGGCCAAGACGGGCGGATCACGAGGTCAGGAGATCGAGACCATCCTGGCAAACACGGTGAAACCCCGTCTCTACTAAAAAGTACAAAAAAAAAAAAACTAGCCGGGCAAAGTGGCGGGCACTTGTAGTCCTAGCTACTCCGGAGGCTGAGGCAGGAGAATGGCGTGAACCTGGGGGGCGGAGCTTGCAGTGAGCCGAGATCGCGCCACTGCACTCCAGCCTGGGCGACAGAGCCAGACTCCATCTCAAAAATAAATAAATAAATAAATAAATAAATAAATAAATTTTGACTTCATTTGCTGAGAACAACAAAAGAAAAATCCAAGTGTTTCTTTTAATATTGGATTATTGGTGACAAGCTTTTTTCTTTGGCTGCTGTTTTCAAATACACTGCTTTTGTAATCAGTAGAAGTACATAAAACTCTTATTAAGTGAACTCAACCATCTCTGATCTGTAGGAGTTGAGGCCCTCACTGTCTAGAGGACCCTGTACTTGGAATTCATTGGAATTCCAAACAGCTACTTCCAGGTTGAGAAACTGGATCATATGTGTGTTAGTACAAAGAGGAAATGGGCTTGAAGTTTTGTTTTCATAAAAAAATGGGGCGATTTAAATGATGGTTATTTGGGATTTGTTATTGGAACATGGGTATTTTGATGTTCTAGAACTTATTTTTATTTTTATTTTTTAACCTTTCTAGATCCCAAAAGGATAATCACTTACAATGAAGCCATGGATAGTCCAGATCAATGAAGGACCAGACTGCCTATTCGTAACCTTTCTGCAGCATTAGAGCCATCGTTCATGGGGGACACAAGGCTTTTATGCTCCTAGATCTTCAACGCAGCAGAGGAACCATAAGTAGAATCACAGGATAATATATACAAATATATATATATACATATATATATATATAGTTATTTAAAAAAGGCAACTGAAAGTAATTAGACTTCTTAAGGAATCAAATTTATTTCAAGAGACTACACATGGTTATTTAATCTCCGGTACTGAATAGGTTTTTTTTCTTCTGTTAGTTTTTGTTTTTAAGTGTGAATGCAAGTGATTAATGAATACAGACTTAACAAGTGTGGTTCTAAAGTTCCTGCTGTCATCAACTTGGGCAACAAATGACCCACTGGAAAGGCAAATCCACTTAAAAGATCTCTGTATCTTGTTCTGTGACTGAAGTGATACACTAATCACGGGGAACCCAGAATGATTCAACATTTTCCCCCACTCCTCCCTTGATCTTTTTGGTTTTACTTTAATTAAGCCCTGCGAGAATGCTGGATAAATGCCTTGAAGTTAGCAGGGTGTATTTTTTTAGCGAATATGATTTGCATGTCTTGCCAGGAGTTAAGCGGCCTCTGTGGGGTGTTGGGGGAATACTTTATTTCTTTCCATTTATTTTTTGTGGGGTGGGGGGATAGGGGAGGGCATTGAAGTTCTACAATTCTGGAATAGTTGATGGTACATAGTTAACTTGGCTTCGGTTACATATTGGACTTTAACAACTGAAGAATCTATGCGTGTCATTTAAAGAAAAGTTGCAGAACAAGCATTTGGCTTAGATATACAATCTGGAAAAATATTCCTGTGCCCATATTTTAATGTAATTGTATAACTGGGAGCAAAAATATATTCTGCTTTTCAACTGTAGGTGCTCCAGACTTGCTCTCTGTCACTAACACTAAATGTGCTGTTTTCCTTATTTTTCATCAAACATTTAAGACAAACTTAGACCTTTCTGTAAATTCTCTTTTAATTTCTCAAAAAAATCTAAAAGGGGAAGTAAAAAGTCCATGAAAACTAAAACTTTTCATGTTTTTAGCCAGTGAGAAGGTAATAAACCCTGACTGTAGAAGGTATGTTTTCATGCAAACTATACTTCTGAGCTTATTAGCTTCTAATTATATCTTAATAAATATATTTTATTACTAGAGCAAGATGGGTTTTTAAGGAAAATAATGTGAAATTCTGGAAATTTTCTTTGGGGCAGAGAAGAGCATTAGCCCTGTCTTATTACATTGCCATCCTGTTGCACTGCAGCTTGTGTATAGCATGCTAAAATAAATTTTTGTGTGTGTGTGCAGAAATTAAGGGTCCAATTGAGATTGGGTGATGTTAGTAGCATAATAACAAGTTGTCTGGCCTGACACAGCATCACATCACACACACAGAAATTAGTATATCCATGTATGTCAAATACAGGTTAAAATATCAGGGCATTTATATAAAGAGTTGTAGTCTTCTGATAAAAGTAGACTGGATCCCCTGGGGTATTTGGGGAGAAAGTAACTACTTTTGCTCTACCCCTAGAAATGTCCAGTTTTGAGTGACTGTAGTATGGATGGGTTTTCTTGTTTTGTTGATTATTTGAGGCTTTTAAAACAAGTAGTTCATGAAAGAAGCTGTTGGACTCAACATAGAGTAGAGTAACTATCTTTTTAGTCTGGATTTCTGCCCTGCTTAGATTTTAAAAGTATAAGCATGGATTGCCAATTCCACTTGATGTAAACAAAACTTTTTTTTATACATAATATATATATATATATAAAATAACTTATTGTATCAGTCCAGGTTCAGAAACTTGTGGTAGGCCAGTTCCAGATAGTTTCATTTCACCTGTAAACTGTATCACTTTTACTGATATTGTAATTTTCAAATGTATAATATGTTTACAGATGTGCCCTGCATTTAGTCTGCCTTGTTCCTATTTTGATTTTTGTTGAGTCTCCTGCCTGCTTGCCAAAAGCTAGGATGCTTCAGGCCCATGTACAATTGAAAGCAGAGGCATCCTTGAGCTTTAAAGCATTGAACAAACTGGAAAATGCAACATACCACATAACTGAAGTGAAAAAAGTCTGTGTTTTTGTGTTTTTTTAATAAAAATTTTCAAAAAGTTTAAAAAAAACATATAAGGTTGATTAAAGGGAAAAAAGGCTCCAGTTTGTTTTACAGGTTTTAAAGTTCTGCTGTGTGTTCAATTGCCTTGTGTAACCACTTGTCGCCTTAGGGCCAGATTCCCCTCACCACTCCCCCTTTTTAAATGTCCATTTTGCTTGCCTGGAATTTTAAAGTTCTTCTGTCTCACAACTCACAAGAAACTTTCTGGGTTTGTGACATACAGAGATTGAATGAATATATATTTGAAAATGAAAAAAAAAAGACAAACCCAGCCCCCACATGAATTGGGCTTTTTAACTTAGAAGCAACACTTGATTGAACATTTTTAGAAAGCTGTTGCTTTTCTAATTTCTTTCCATATCCCTCAGGCCTCAGTGTTTGGAGAAGCCAAAAAGAATGTATCACTTCTCTGTCTGTCCAAAGGTTTTGGAGAGTCTCACTTTTAAATGAAACAATGCAACATTTCACTTTGATTTCTCCACTGAAAGTTCCTTGATTATATGGTTAGAGGTATGTAGTTAGGAATGTCTGTTAACTTTCTGAGAACCCTAGTGCCCCATCATATTAACTGTCAGTATTTTGGGGGCATTAGGTTAATAGACTTAATTGCCTAGGTACAAGCAGGACTTTGGGACAAATCTCTTTGTGCTGTTTGGTAACACTTAACTCTATTTGTTGCAATCTTTCTCCTTAGGTCCTCACACAATTCCTTACAGAGCACTTATTAAAAAAAAAAAATCTTAAGAGTTGATCTGTTTTCTGATTATTTTGTGTAAGCTTCTAAACAGACTTCAGCTGTGATTAATTTAGCACATTTAAATAACGTGTTATTGTTTGGTGTAAAGAATTTTCCTCCAACTCAGAGTATTAGTACTGTAGCATAAACCAAATACAGTCTAGAGGGGATTTTTAACATCCCTCCATTATAAAGACTGAAAAAGGGGTGTGTGTGTATGTATGTGTATGTGTGTGTTGAGTGTGTGTGAGGAAAAGATGGAGATATTAAAAATTAGTAAATGAATGTGTATAAGACATTAGTATTCAGAGAATGAACTTGTATTTATTTTGTGCCATTTGTTTTCATTACACAGAAAAAAGTCAGGTGGTTTAAATCCTTAAAAGGGTAGTATTGAAAAATGGCACTAAGAATGAAATTATGACCTATTTTTTTAATAGCTATGAAGATACTAATTATGGGTGAAGATTTCTTTTTAAATCTGTTTTGATTATTGTAGGCTTCTGTGTCACATACCACTCTTGTAGGTGTCCTCAATAATCCCTTTTTCCCGCAAAACACACAGGGTGTATTATCTTTCTCTTTATTCACCCTCACTTTGCTGAACTGAAGTTAATTACATAGCCTTTCTTCTAACCTCCTTAGTAATGAACCTTCACATAAAGTGTATTTACAGCATCTATGGTAGCCAGCCCTTTCTCCTCTACTTTCTAGGAGGGGATTAAATTCCAATAACTAGGAATTTAATAACAGATTTTTTTTTCTTTGAAATAAATGGCCAGAGAGTTTCTCCATTTTAGAATTTTGCTGTCCTCCTTAGTCATCTGCTTACCTAGTCATTACTCAATCTGCAGAAACTTCATAAAGGAAAAGTGCTGCATTGTTTTACAAATAACAGTTTTAGGGAAAACCTCAACTATGGGAGTTGTCCACAATACAAATTTTCAAAAAACATTACATAAGGGTAATTTCATACTTGGTTGTTAGACTTGTTGCTTCCCCACATCAGAGGCATCTAATGATTTATCTTTTGTAATTGCTGTAAACTTTTTAAAATAAAGCCATTTAGTGTGAAATTGTCAGGTATCAAATGGCTATTGGAAAGGGACTTTACTCAATTTAAATTCCACTGTAAATAAGGAGGGAGTCATTCCTGCGAGGGTCTCTTCAGAGAAATAGGTTAAAAGTCCAATTTCCAGGTATTACGAGTATAGTTATGCCACTGGGCCATATCCTCAAATAACAGCTGATCCCTCTTGTATAAATATGTTAACTGTGCAGAACAGTTATGCTATAGGACAAATACAATGGTCCTTAGGGTCAGATTGGTTGATGCCACACCAGTCAAGGTAGAGTCTGATAGGGCAGTATCTTAATAACCCTACCCATGACTTAACTGTTGGATTTGAAAGGAAAACGTAGGATTTGCTCTCCTCCCCTTCACCCCCAGAAAATTTTGATAATTTGTTTAAAAGGGAGAGGCAGAGGAAAAGATTAGAAGCATAAATAGCTGCTCTAAGTTTGCCAGAGGCACATAGCTTAACATTAGTTCTTAATATCGATGTTATTTTTACTAATGTAATTAATCAACAGAGCACCAAGATTCTTTCATGGTGAAAAAGGTGGGCTTCTGTTTTGGTATTTTAAAATGTTTCTTTTAAAATATATATCACCTTTGTGAGAACCGGGACCACCTGGGAGAGTGATGAATCATTGGCTCTACTCAAAAGCATTGCTTTACTGAGTTTTAAATTTCACACCGTTTTGCTGCTCAAGAAAGGTCTTAAAGTAGTTAAAGGATGCCAGCAATAGTCCGAATAGAATTTTCAGTTGTCTGCATGATGAAAACACCCAGTGCAGCATGATTGGAATATTGCTTTTGCATTACTGGGAATGGTACATCAGTTATGGGCTAGAAACTATGGAACAGCCATCCTGGGATGCTGATTCAGACTTCCCTATTTATCCATACAATTTTGTTATGTCCAGAGTTCTAAAGCCATTTTATAATACTGCAGTATCCCCCCCCCTTTTTTTTTTGAGACGGACTCTCTGTTGCCCAGACTGGAGTACAGTGGTGCAATCTTGGCTCACTGCAACCTCCATCCCCTTGGTTCAAGCAATTCCCCTGCCTCAGCCTCCCGAGTAGCTGGGATTACAGGCGCACACCACCATACCAGGCTAATTTGTATTCTTAGTAGAGATGGGGTTTCACCATGTTGGCTAGACTGGTCTTGAACTCCTGACCTCAGGCAATCTGCCCACCTCGGCTTCCCAACGTGCTGGGATTACAGGTGTGAGCCACCGTGCCCGGCCAAGTATCCCTTTTCTACAGCCTTACTAAACTAGCTACAAACATTTATTTTCCAATTTAGTTTTACTTTCAGTGCATATCAAAGTTATACTCTTCAGACCAACAAACTAACTTGAGGGCAAATTATAGAGCTTTCCATATACCCTTTTTTCCTCAGGTGCTAATCAAAGGCTCTGAAAATGGATACTGCTTTAGTAATGTCTCCATTATTCTTAAAATGCTTATTTCTTTTGCTAGATGTATAGATTTGGTGTTAACAAAAGTGGTTTTAATATGTAAATATGAATGAATGCCTTTAGTTTACCCTGTTTGTCTATTATTATTAGTCTGTTTTCATTTATCCTTCATAGAGGAGGATCCTTTCATGATCTTGAATACATTTCATTAGATACTGTTGCATTTTAAGAATGAAAATACAACTGTTTTCTGTCTTAGATTAATCCTGCTGCTGCTATGAGAAACTGAAAATCAAGAATGTGATGCACTTTTTACATTACTATATACCATACATATACTATAGGTTGCTTTGATACCTTTACTGTAGCACAGCCACTAACAAGAGTGAGTGAATTATAAAATTCTCTTTGGGAGGGAATCAGTACAAGTAACTAATTCTCAGCTGATATTGGCCTATGAAGGACAATAACTTAGGAATATAAGAATTCTGTTAATAGTAGTACACTTTTTGGCCTTAAATGTCTTCTACTACTGAAAATAGTTTAAATCTTAGCTTTGTTTCTATTACTCCCTCTCTCTGCCTCAGAAAGAGGAATTGGGAAGAATGGCTTAAAGGATGTGGTGTCATTGACATGTTGCTGATCTTTTAGAAAACATTTGTCTATGTAAGGTGGGGACTTAATTTTGTTTGTATATAGAGAAGAAATAATGCTGCCCTGAACCAATCAGATTTAGTTTAAATCAAATCAATCAAAACTCCAACTATTCTGTTTCTCTTGTCTTTTTACTTAGCAAAGGAAAACTTTAGTAAGAATGCTACTTGACAAGAAGAAAAGTCATTTCTCAAGCACATACCCAAACTTGAAGGTGGTGATTGAACCCAAAATAATGGGTGGGAAACACCAAATGAGGTGGAGGAATATGAGAAAGATGTGTGGGCCAAAGCTATCTGGTTATATTTTGATGTTGCCAATATCGCAAAGCCAAAATTTTAATTTGCTTATTTAATATATTTGTTGGCCAGAGATCTATTTTTATATCAATGTGCCTTGCGTGTATATTAAAAAAAAGAATTGGAAAGGCCATGTAGTAATGCCTGAGATAGTTGATGGTTCTTACCACCTCACTAATTTTTATGCAGTATGAAATGCTCATTCTATTGCCCAACTGGTGCTCTCTGTTTAAAGTTATAGATCTTGTCAAACTGGAACTATTTTATAAGCTGGGGAAGTGATTTACTTTTTTTGTTGTATCTTTTTTGTTCTTAATCTATTAGTGGCTGTCCTGTAGTGGGAAATAATTAAAGGATTCTTCACTCTTTTCTTCTCCCCTCAGCACCTTCTTCAAGTAAACATTTCTTGTGTGCTTTGAAAAAAGTTTCAGCTTGCTGTCTCTTTTAGTGTTTTAAAGAAGTGTTATACAAAGCATTGTTTGCAAAATGTAGGGAGATAATGGAGTCCACTTTAATTTGGAATTCTGCGTGAGCTATGATCCAAGTTACCAGCTCTTTCCAACTTTAAAAATTTTGTTAAAAGCACCTTGCTTAGAAAATTTAAAATATTTATGTCTGCAACAATTGTCTCAAAATAATAAACTGTGCAATTCTTGTCATTAAAAAAAAAAAAAAAGATCTGAATTCTCCCTAATGTGACTTGTTAGTTTCTCTCTGTATTTCCTGCCAGTGTAAATGTGAAAGCTTTGCTTGCATTACGTTTTAGAAATGCATTTTGCACACTCGAATTTTGCCGAAGCTCCGTGAAAAGGTTAGATCTAAGTAGATGAATAAAGCTATGCACATGTTTTGAAAGTTTAATTTGTGTGTCATTACCAAAAGTGACCGATTTGTCCTTATTACTTTGCTGTTCTTAGCTTTACCATCTTTGGAAACTTGGCTCAAAGTTATATAGGTCTGGGCTAGCTCATCAGTGGAACTAGGAGAGAGGAAAACTGGCACCTATTTTAATAAAGTTCAATTTAAACGAGAGCTTGACTTGTATCTATTAAAGGGCTTTTCTTGAAACAGGGCAGTTTTATCAGCTTTACAAATCATTGGATGCTCTTCCTTAGTAATATTTTGGTTTATTTGATCAAATAGAAATGGAAAGTAATTCAAACTGAAAGACCCTTTTTTGTCACATGGAACTTGGTGACAATTTTATGTCTTAAAGCTGGTTTAAAGGTAGGATAGCCTTTTACTTTTATTGCTGTTGCATAAATTTGGTTTACTGAATTGACTGGCTTGAGATTAGAATTATTCAGTTGTTTGTAAGATCAAAGCACAGGTGGTTTTAAAGATAACATGTATCTTTTTAAAAATTGCCCAAGCTAATTAGAACAAGTTTAGAAATTGGGTACATTTGGTTCAAGTGCTGCAATGTGCATGTACTAAATAGCTTTACTTTGTGTGTATGTGTACTTATAATGTATAGATGTACTGCCCAGGTTTTGTCAAATCATCTTTTTTAAAGCTTTTTTTTTAATTGCTTCAGGACTTTTGTAGGAGAGGCTAATATGTTTAAGTAGAAGATATTACTGATGGTATTTTCCCCGTGTTCCTACATATAAAATAAATATTTCCATTTTATAGCTTTTTCAATGTACAGAAGAGGGTTACTTCTTCATCAAGTATGTTGCCTTTGAGGACACAGCAAAACCCTTCTATATGTATCTTCATTGATAGTGGCAGTTAAAAACGAAGTCATCCAGTTAAGACTCGAAAGGTGACCCATAATTAATTGCATGGCCTTAAAAGGCAGAAATGCAGGAGTGTAGCAAGCATCATCTTAGATGGCTATGGTTCCTCTTCCGCATCTGTCAGTAGTTCACTTATGTTCAGTCTTAGAACCTATTGGAAAAGCAAAGTAATTTCTCTGTCTTGTGCAGAGGCACTTAGGAGCTGAGTTACATCTTAATCTAGGGGAATGGATGATAAATGGAGTACAGTTATGTTAATGGATGTTTTCCCTTCCCCCTCTCAAAAAAAGTTTCAATGTTTGTTTTGCCCAGTCAAAAATATAGGTCTTTTCTAGATATAAGAACAGTGACCAGAAATTTTCCCTTTTGCTAAATGCTTAGGTATTTGCTATAGCTGTTTCTGATGTCATGGATTCTGAGGAAGTGTCAGTTACGTGATGATCTTCCTTTATTGTTGTCTTACTTCATCATGTTCAGTGTTTTAAAAATATAAATTACAAACACTCTACAACCATACCCAGATTTACTTATTTTATCAGAAAAAAAAAAACTTGAGAAATTTGTAGATCAAATTGAGAGACAATAAGTGTACATTGTTGAATAAAAAATTTTAAAGTTTCTGAGGTGTTTGTTATCTTTTGTGTGCTTTAATTTTTTAAAAAGTCTTTACTGACGAATCTTAAATTCAGCTGATAAAAAGTAAAAAAAAAAAAAAAAAAAAAAAAAAACCTGAAAACTAAGTTTGTGATATTGATAATGATTTTTTTCCAAAGGGTCAAATATGTGAAGAATTTAAGTCTTAAGTGTACTATGGTCCTGTGAATTTTTTTTTTTTTTTTAATCATAGAGGTTTTTACAGTGCTTAGAATTAGCATGCTTATTGAAAAATCCAGAGCTATCCTGCCTTTTTGCAGGACATTAAGTCTTATGCTTTTCCAGTTGAAATAAATCAAAATTGAGCTAAGCAGTTAAGCAACTAGAATGTTAAGCTGCCAGTATTCTGAATTTATTCATAACTTTATGTTGAAATATGTGGCAGTACACACTGGAGAAACTTCCTGTTTCTATAGTACTGATTTGTCACAAGGTGAAAGGAAAATCAATGCCAACTTCAGCATTATTAGAAAGAGCAGGAGACGGGAGGAAAGGACATAAAAACATTTACCAAAAGTGTCAGTCACTATAGAGATTGATAACATTTAGGTCATATGCTTTATTGTTCTTTGAGATAAGGAATAATTGTCCTTGGCCTGGTAAGTGACTTGCAAGGACACAAGGAGAATGTGGAGTTTTATGGAAGCTTAACTAAAAATTCTCATCCAGGCAGGTGCAGTGGCTCAACACCTGTAATCCCAGCACTTTGGGAGGCCACAGTAGGTGGATCACTTGAGCCCAAGAGTTAAAGACCAGCCTGGGCAACATAGTGAGACCTCATCTCTACAAAAAGTACAAAAATTAGCCAGGCACGGTGGCAGGCGCCTGTAGTCCCAACTACTCAGGAGGTTGAGGCAGGAGGATCACTTGAGCCCAGGAGATCGACACTGTAGTTAAGCCAGATCGCACCACTGCACTCCAGCCTGGGTGACAGACCCTGTCTCAACAACAAAAATTCTCATCCACAGGCCGGGCGTTGGTGGCTCATGCCTGTAATCTCAGCACTTTGGGAGGCCGAGGCGGGAGAATCACCTGAGGTCGGGAGTTCGAGACCAGCCTGACCAACATAGAGAAACCCCATCTCCACTAAAAATACAGTAATTAGCTGGGTGTGGTGGTGCATGCCTGTAATCCCAGCTACTCGGGAGGCTGAGACAGAATCTCTTGAATCCGGGAGGCAGAGGTTGTGGTGAGCCGAGATAGCGCCATTGCACTCCAGCCTGGGCAACAAGAGTGAAACTCCACCTCAGAAAAAAAAAATTCTCATCCACATAGGTGTGATTTATGTGAAGCATGGTAGTTAATTCAGTCTACAAAGTTTTGTTTTGTTTTTAATGATGTTTATTGTGGATTTCAGCAGCTAACATTTGAAAGCAATGTCTGTGAGCAGAACATAAAACTCATTCTAGAGTGCTTAGCAAGGTCTCATGCTTGAGGAATTATCGTACTTGGAGCTTTTAATCAGCTACTGTTGGATTCGGCGAATCGATTGGATCTGGGAAGTCTGGGCATGAGATCCCCACTCTCTCCAATGTTTATAGTCTCCTCCGTGATGGTCACATTCCAAGATATACTGATACCCACGATATCCAGGATATTGGTAGCAAACCCAGCTGGGAAATTCAAAGTACATTTCATTATTAAAACTAATTAGGAATCTGGTTAACACCCCAAAATCTGAGCCTCTTTCCTCAACTTAATGGTATGGGATGCTTTTGGTCTTAGAAAAATATAGCTATCCTAAATGTGTCAGGCACTATTTGCAAGCATAATACAGCTACAGCTAGTTGATTAGCCTTAATCATCAAAAGAGGTATAAGTGAACATAAATTCTTCCATAGAGGCATGTCTGGGGGAGATAAATCTGCAACCTTAAGTGGTAGTTGGTATAAAGAACTTGTGATTCAAAATTATGTATAACTAGAATGTGACATCTATACCAATACATATGAAATCTGATTAAAACAACCATTGATGCAACTTCAGGAATTACTTTGAAGTGTATTCCAACCCTGTTTTTGTACTTACGCCCCATTTTGTATCTTCATGGAGCCGACTTCGTTGTTGGGCCAACCCATGGCTTGCAAGGAGGGGTAGTCATCAGAGATCTCCCACTGGCGTCCAATAAAGTTTTCCTTCTCAAAGATGGTCATCTTAGACTCCTTATGATTCTGTAATTCAGAAATTGTTTTAAAATGTTCAGTACTGGTGTATGGCTATCATTCATGTTTTTCAAAATTGAAACACTTTTTTGGATTACACAAGGAAGCATGTGATAATTTATTTTAAAAAGATTAAGGCAACAGATATGTGAGAAAAAAGTTACCCATAATTTTGTTTATTCCAATTTAAATACCATAACATTTGGAATGTACAAATAACTGATATACTATTTTGGAACAATGAAGAGGATTTGACAGTGGGAAAAAGTACTAACAAAATGCAGCCAACCAAGGGATGAATACTCACTAATGTGAAAAAAGATCTCACAAATTAATACAAAAAGTAAGCCCAAATATGTATGTGTGCGCTTGCGTGTGTATGTGTGTTGTTGGAAATAACCTGTATGTCCAGTAGGGGACATGAATACTACACAAGCATTAAAAAGGCAGAGACCAACCTGTATGAACTTCAAAAATGGACAAAACTGTTTGATGATAGAAAGTGGTAGGGGAGCAACTGAGTGGAAAGGGACACCAGGGAACTATGATGGAATGTTCTTTATATGGTTAGAGTGTTGGTTACATGGATCTATATATTTTCAAAACTCATGAGAATATGCACTTAGGATCTGTGCATTTTACTGTAGGTCAGTTATAACTTAGGGTGGAAAAATGAAATGTTTTTTTAAAAGTGAGATTGAAATAATTTCCAGATAGGGAACTATTTGTTTGGATTAGAGCTATTTCGGTTAACTTCTCCATCAGTTGAATTTTGGCAAGACTTTGAACCAAGGTGAGATTATTAACCAAAATCACGAGAAACTCACATATAGACTGAATATTTGGAAAGGTTCTAGCCCAACCTAACTCCTAATACAGGGATTATTTTTCAGCACACCCCTGAAGATCATCCTGCTTTCTGCTTGAACTCTTTCCAAAAAAGACCAGAAACATCCCAGCCTGATGCATTATTGAGTAATACTTAAGTGTTCAGAACAAGAAGATGATTATCAATGAATGTAGATAGATAATGGAAGACTTGCCTATTTTTTAGTCATTCCCACTTACCGAAAGGTTACTTCAGCATTTCCCTGTTTCTGCGGTAAAATGTTGCACAGATTGAAATTTAACTGGCCAAGGATTTGCTTTTTACTACAGGGTAAAGACATTCACTCATTTACTAGTGTTTCACAAGTTTATTGGGCTCTTGAGTATCCACTTATTGCCACCTGTAAGACCCTTAGTTTTAGCTTAAGGGAAATACCACCTGGTGGAGAAAAATCAAATAGCAGGCTTAGAGGAGAAAGTGATGTTTTCTCTTTTTTTTGCTTTTGTCTTTTTTCCTGCCACATTCAGCATAACTGATGAGAAATAGCATGAACGTCAGTCTGTCCACACCCTCTTGTCCCATCCCTCATATGCACAGAAGTGGAAATTTCAGAGACTCACAGCTGAACAGATGGGGCGGAAGGACATGAGACGCTCAATGTGGTAGGCATTACTCCCACTCCAGGCATCCCAGCGAGGGTATTCTCCTCTCTCCAGGATAAACTGTTGCCCACAGAAGCTGGTATGCTCATAACCAATCCAGCTGCCAAAGACATGTAGTGTTTGTTCATGGTGTTCAAAGCCTATATGGCCTTGGGGAGAAGGCATCTTTCGTTTTAGATAAGTTAATAGTGGGGTAAAATATCAAGCCAATCCCAGTAGAGCTGTACAAAGTAATTTATCACAAGAGGTGAGGAATGAGTTGACAGGTATACTAAGCAGGTTTATGAATGTAATAATTGTTTTGGGATTATCACTGAAAAGGTCTGTCTACTTCACTGGTCTGAGTGAAGTATATTAGCAAAGCCAATCTAAAATTGTATTTCCGGGCTGGGTGTGGTGGCTCACGCCTGTAGTCTCAACACTTCAGGAGGCCAAGGCAAGCAGATCGCTTGAGCCCATGAGTTGGAGACCAGCCTGGGAAACATGGCAAAACCCCGTCTACAAAACTCAAAAATTAGCCAGGCGTGGTGACACAGTACTGCAGTCCCAGTTATTCAGGGGGCTGAGGGTTGAGCCTTGGAGGTGGAGGCTGCAGTAAGCCATGATTGTGCCACTGCACTCCAGCCTGGGCAACAGAGTAACACTTTGTCTCAAAAAAAAAAAAAAAAAAAAAAATTTTTTTTTTTTCTCCATACCTGGTTCAGGATCTGGTGACTGACTATTGCAAGCTTGTCCAACCTGTGGCCCAAGGGCTGCATGCAACTCAGGACAGCTTTGAACACAGCCCAACACAAGTTTGTAAACTTTCTCAAAACATTTTGAGTTTTTGTTGTTGTTAGCTCATCAGCTCTCGTTATTGTATTTTATATGTGGCCGAAGACAATTCTTTCAGTGTGGCCTAGGGAAGCCAAAAGATTAGACACCCCTGGACTATTGCTTTGGCTCAAGCCAAACCAGTTGACTTATTCTTAAGAAAGCACAGGGATGAACAAGCAACTGATGGATTACTAGTATCTTTTTTCCTGTGACTTGCAAGTTCTTTCTCCTAGTGCCCCATACTTAAAACTTGAAACACTCAAGTTCAGTTTTTCACAATTGGGTCTCAGTGATGACACCTTAAAGTGTTACTTCTTTCAAAGGACTGAAGAGCTTAATATTGGTGGCAAGCAACTTGTGGAAGCCTATCCACATGCAAGGCCAGTTCTGCCTAGTCAAGGGCGAGTCTTTTCCTTAGGTGTTTTCAGGCTAATGATAAAGGCCTCAACTACTCTGCCAAGAGTCAGAGGACAAAAATGAGAAGGTCTCCCTCACCAAGATTAACCATCAACAAGAAACTGCCTGAAAGATGAATCAGGAGCTAATATGTCTCTGGAGTCATGGGGTTAAGGTTTTTTTTTTTTTTTTTTTTTTTTTTTTTTTTTTTTTTTTTCATAAAGAAATTAGCTAACAGTGTCTGCTCTGGGACATGCAGGAGGAGAGTTAGCCATAGAGGCAGCCACTTGACACTTTCTTCTTTACCAATTTTCTGCAGGCAAGAAAAACTCAAGGGTCTTGTGGCTGTTCTGAGGGCACCCTAGGTAGCAGCCTGTGAGCCCCAGAATCAAAAATTTGATTACTGCCACTGCCCCACCCCATTGTATGTATTTCTTTATCCAGCCCCTGAAATCTAGTACCAGGCCTAAGAACCTCATGTTCCTTTTAGCTTTGGCTTACTAAATTATGCATGTAGTGATTTCTTTTGAGGCCTCTCTCTGAGAAATGACTAGAGCCTAGGGGGACATCCTTCTTCCCCTATCCCCACTCTATGGTCCCATGTCTGAAGGGACTTGAAATAAGGGACTGTGGTTCTACAGAGATCCATACTCACGCGCCACATTCCACCTTGAGGGACCGGACATTATCAAAACTGCGCTCAGAGACATTTGGACAGGAGCTGGTGAACTCCATCCTCTTGCCCTGAAAGTTCTCCTGATCATAGATGGTTATCTGAAATGAGATTGAATGGCACAAGAGAGCTAGAACCTGGTACATCAGGAAAAACAGACGCCCAGGTCAACAGCTTAATTTGTGTCTGACTCGGTGCTCTCTGTTACCAGCTGTAGCCTGGGATGTCTGATGAGGTATCTTCCAGTGTAGACAGGGCAGGAAGGGGTCTGAATTAATGCCACTGGTTGCTGTTCATTTGCCCAGAGTAGGGATGACGTGGAGGGAGGATTGGTTTATTGTAGAAATGGTCTGAAGGGATAACAGCTAGACCAATGGACAGGCCAAGGACTTATGGGCTCCCATTCCACCACAGTTCCTTCATAAGCATGGCCCAGAGGCCAGGATTCTGGGAGTCCCAGGAGTTCCTTACAGATTCTTAGCTTCTCCAGCCACACCCCCATAGAAACCTAGGGTGTAAAGGAGAGTTATGGTCAACCTTTTTGCACTTTGAACTAAAACCTGGCTTGTGGACCTGGCCAGAGGACCACTCCCAAAGCTGTGAGTTGGCCTCAGAGTTGACCCAATGAGGAGAATGGGGAGTGTTGGAGAGAGGCCAGTGAGAGGCCTGAGGATAAGCCACTTCAGCCAATGGTTAAAGCCAACCTCAGGCTGGGAGGCTGAGTCCTGTAATTGATTTGGGATCTAGTAGTAAATCTCTTTATGGGCCCTCATTTTCTCCATGGATATAATCATTGCTGGGCTGCTGTATTTTAAGATGACTTTAGTGGGAAGGAGAGAGGAGTTAGGAAACTAGGTATCATCTCCCACCCATCATTGGCATCCAGAGTCATCCTTCCTTTGTCCAACAGGACATCCTGAGAGATCCTTCCTTTGACACCACTGGAGCTTGTGTGGACCTTTCCCCTACAAACTGGGTTTTTTCTGGTCAGTCACTGCTTCATGGATGAGCACAGGCTTGGGGCCTGCTCTGTGCAGCATCTCACCCCTGCCCTGTTGGATGTGATGGGGGTGGGCTTACCTTCCATGGCCCCAGGGACCCCTGCGTAGGGTTGGTCTGAGCCATCTTCGTGGTTGGAAGGGTTTCTGGAAGACAGAGCACACATGAATGAGGTGGCCTCTGGGGAGGAGGGTGAGGTGACGGAATGCCTTGAAAGGTAAAGGAGACTTGAAGTCTGCAAGACAGACTTTGGTTGGAATTCTGGCTCTGCCGCTCACTAGCTGTGCCTCGGGATTTTGTTGTTGTTGTTGTTGTTGTTGTTGCTGTTTTGAGACAGGATCTTGCTCTGTCATCCAGGCTAGAGTGCAGTGGCACAATCTCACTTGACTGCAACCTCTGCCTCCTAGGCTCAGGCGATCCTCCTGCCTCAGCCTCCCATGTAGCTGGGACTACAGGCATGCACCACCATGCCTGGCTAGTTTTTGTATTTTTAGTAGAGATGGGGGTTTCACCATGTTCACCAGGCTGGTCTTGAACTCCTGACCTCAAGTGATCCACCCACCTCGGCCTCCCAAAGTGGTGGGGTTACAGGCGTGAGCCACCGCACCCAGACTGAGCCTCAGTTTTTCCATTGGTAAAGCTTCAACGTGCAGAGTTATTGTAAGGATCAGAAACAATAGGCTGGGCACAGTGGTTCACGCCTGTAATCCCAGCACTTTGGGAGGCTGAGGCGGGTGGATTACCTGAGGTCAGGAGTTTGAGACCAGCCTGGCCGATGTGGTGAAACCCTGTCTCTACTAAAAATACAAAAATTAGCCGGGTGTGATGGCACACACCTGTAGTCTCAGCTACTCGGGAGGCTGAGGCAGGAGAATCACTTGAACCTAGGAGGCGGAGGTTGCAGTGAGCTGAGATCTCGCCACTGCACTCCAACTTGGGCAACAGAGTGAGACTCCATCTCAAAAAAAAACAAAAGGATCAGAAACAATAATGCAGGTAAAGCACTGACAAGCATTGTAACCCCGTCCTCTCATTTGCTTTCAGGTGACAGCATTGCCTCTGTCCACAATATAAACTCTCTGGCAACCGCCTAGGCCAGACCCCTCATGTGACTGGCCAAACAGCCAGCCATGCCAGGATCCCAAGCTCCAAACTCCCTTGTAACCCTTCACGGTCTCATCCTTATCTGGCTCCTTTCTTTCTCTCTCTCTCTCTCTCTCTCTCTTTCTTTCTTTCTTCGGAGTATTTTTGTATTTTTAGTAGAGACAGGGGTTTCACTATATTGGTCAAGCTGGTCTGGAACTCCTGAGCCACCGTGCCTGGCCATTCCTTTCTGCTTTTCTATCTCCCAGGTCCTACCCAACCTTGACCTTGCCTCCTCAGATGCTTTCCTGCCTTTTCCAGCCCACAGCCACTTGCCTTCTTTCTTGATTTCTGGCACTCATCACAGTACCAATCTGTATTCTGGTTGTTGGATGTCCTGGTGAGCACCTCAATGGCAAGGCCTGGGTCTTCTAGGGGATTGGTATAGCATCATGCTGAGCACATGTGGGGATGAGGGATTGGGAGACATTGAAAAAGACTTATTGAAGGAAAGTGAAGAAGAAAAGAGTTACAGTAGTTAACACTCAACAATGGCTATCTACATGTCTGGCCCTGTTTTAAATGCTTTACCTGCATTCACGCATTTAATCTTCACACAAAGCCTATGAATTAAGAATCATCATTATCCCCATTTTACAAATGAGGATACTGAGGCTCATAGAGGTTAGGTAGACAGTAAAGATGGTAGGATGAGTTTGAAAAAAGGAATCACAGAGCAAGAAAGAGGAAGGAAAAGAGCGGGGGGGAAGGGAAGAAGGAAGACAGGCAGGTGTGTATTAGGTTTCTTGACTTAGGACAGATATTCATGGCCCTCCATCTGGCTGGTATTGGGCCCAGGAATGATGCGTGTAAACTCTGTAATATATCTTTCCATTCTCAATCTCTGAATAAGCAACATTTCCCAGGTCCTGCCCCCATACCTTCTCCCTGCTCATTTCTTGGGGGCTCATGCCCACCCCCCAGCCTTGGTTGCTAGGGCAGTGGTTATTGCTATATAAGTGACTCCTCTTGGGATGACAAGAGAAGGCTGCCTTCCGCCAGAGTTCCCCAGTCTTCTCCAGCCACCCTAGAAGGCTCTACACACTAGGCAGGAGAACTGGGCCCTCTCCTGGTCATGTCTCTGCAGGGCAAGGAGAGGAAGGGCAAGGGCACCCTGAGGGCCTTACTCACCCAGCTCCTGCTGCACAGTCTGGGTCTCCATCTGGTGCCACTTGCTCTGTGGCCCCCCTCTTTATAGCCCTGTGGCCTCTGGCCTCTGGCCCTGTCAGCACTCTGCTGTCCCTCTGCCTTTGTTCCCCCTGATCCCCAGAGCTTTGGTGGTTCAGCTTGCTGGGCAGGCATCCCTTGGGCCTTTGTTTAAACCAGGGATACAGAAATCCAGAGAGGCCCCTCTGTTGTGGGCATGGCTGGCTGCTGCAGGCCTTGGCTGCTCTAGTCTTTCTTAATCTTAGAGCAGCTAGGGGGTGAGGACAGAGGTCTCTGCCATGAGTATTTGTCTCTTGTCCTTCTCCAGGTTCCTCACACCACCTTAGGATCTTCCTAAGACCCTGGGAGACCCCATGTCATATCAAACACATCAAAATGCACCTCACTTCCATACAGGATATGCATTTCTTGTTGTTTAAAAATGTGAAAGAATTATTATAATTCTGAACTCTATTGAGAAAAAATGGTTCATTGTATTCTTGGGAATCTTTTTTATGCTGTATTTATATATAACTATGTAAGAGTTTACTTCAATTGTAGTTGACTAGCAGACATGAGTCTCTCTGTAGCTATTTTATTAAATATTCCTTTTACTTTTGTAATTTTCTTTTAAAATTTTGGAGCTATAACTTTTGGGGTTTTCAAAAAAGAATTAAACCATTTATTGAATAACTCCTATATATTAGACATGTGTTAAATGCTTTACTTGAAAGGTTTGAATTAAATACTTTTCCACAAGAAAAGAAAGAAATACTTTCCCACAGCCACCACAACAGTGCTATTTTCACCTCTTTTCCAGATGAAGAAACTAAGACAGAGAACGATCAAGTGACTTGCCTAAGGTCACAATATTTATAATGGCAGAGCCCAGACTCAAACCCAGTTCTAAAGTCACTGCCCTGCACTGGCCCTCCCTCAGGAGTAATGCATAAATGGCCCAGAAAATTCCGGGAGAGGAAAGAGACCTCCCTGGCTAGAACTGCAATTCTGAATATAAACACTGAGCATATAAGGGTTGCAACTTTATCTGTTTCAAAAGGGGAAGGAGCCTAGAAATGAAGCAATTTTTCCTCCTCAAATTACCTTGACTGCCTGTCCCTTTGTCTTTAATGTTAATTCCTTTCACCATTCTGCTCCCAAACAGGCCAGGTCCCATGTCAGTTCCAGGAGGAAAGGGCTCTTTCAGCCTGCGGGCCATTGTTGGGCAGCAGTAGGAAGGGGAAGAAGGCAACCCTCTGAATACCTCCTCTGGACTCACCATCTAGATGTGAAGGGTTCACCTGCTCCATCTCAGATTCCCAGGGGCCTTCCTGTGACGTTGTCTAGGCAAGTGGTGATAGGGACCTAGATGTCCTTGCTTCTCCCCTCTAGCTCACCCAGGCCAGGGGCGAGAATTTCTGCCATCCACGCCTTCAAAACCAATTTTTTTTTTTTGTATTTTTGAGACAGAGTGTCGCTCTGTTGCCCAGGCTGTAGTGCAGTGGTGCGATTTTGGCTCACAGCAACCTCTGCCCCCCAGGTTCAGGTGATTCTCCTGCCTCAGTCTCCTGAGTAACTGGGATTACAGGCACCTGCCACCATGCCCAGCTAATTTTTTTGTATTTTTAGTAGAGACAGGGTTTCACCATGTTGGCCAGGCTGGTCATGAACTCCTGACCTCAAGTGATCTGCCCACCTCGGCCTCCCAAAGTGCTGAGATTACAGGTGTGAGCCACCATGCCCAGCCAATTTTGAAGTTTTACTGTATTGTTTTAGGTCTTTGGAAATCTCACAGGCCCAAGTTACTATGTATATAGTACCTTAAAGGGTAAAATGACTTCTCCCCAGAAACTTCAGGACATTTGATGAAGGTTAGGTAGGGGAATCGTGGGCCTCCCCAGGGGCCCTGAAGAGGCAGATGTGTTCTTCAAGCATCACAGATATTGTGAGAAGCAAGAGGCTGCAATGGATGTGGAGGTCTTTGAGCCAGGCAGATGTGGGTTCAAATCCCAGTTTCTTGGCTGGGAGATTTGAACAAGTCACTCAGACTCTCTCAACTTCAAAAATAGAATATCTGCCTGATACATTGTAGGCTTATGATTCCTTACCCTACTCTCTTTCTAATGACAGATACTATTGAAAATTTCATAGCAGCTTGGAGAGAAGAAGAAAGTTCTCCCATTTCCTCTGCAGCCCCCGACTCAAGTTTCATCAGTGCCCCCTTTTTTTTCAGAACCAAAAATAAGGGGGTGAGGTCTGGTATGTATTCAAGTATTTGCAGATTTGGGCAGAACATTCCAGACCAGGTGTGTCCAATGTTTTGGCTTCCCTGGGGCACATTAGAAGAAGAATTATCTTGGCCCACACATAAAATATACTAACACTAATGATAACTGATGAGCTAAAAAAAAAAAAAAAAAAAAAAAAAAAAAATTGCAAAAAAAAAAATCTCATAATGTTTTAAGAAAGTTTATTAATTTGTGTTAGGATGCTTTCAAAACTGTCCTGGGCCACACACCACCTACAGGCTGCCAGTTGGACACACTTGCTCTTAGACATGTAAGTCTGATGCTAAGCATGGCACATTGCCCCAAGGATGTTTCTGATGCCTTGATTAACTCATGATGTCTGGACGGATGTCTGGCAGGGGACAGAGTTGCTTTTGGTATCATAGCATGCTCTGGCCACCTGGTGGCTGTGCAAGGGCTTAAAGCACTAGCTGTCTATGGTTGGTGATTCTTCTTTCCTTTCCCTTCTCTTCTTCCTTTCCTCTCCCTTCTCTTCTTCCTTTCCTCTCCAGAATTAGGGTCTTCGGGAAACACTCATTTAGTCATTTTTTCAATCATCCACTCTTAGGCTGGCTTAGGCCCTCACGGTGTGTCCTCATTGCATCCTGTGCTTTTCCAATTACACAAAGTCACATTGATCATGCTGCAGAAATTGCTTTAGGAACTAGAAGTACTGGTTTCCAAGGGTTCGGGGGAACTGAGGCACTTGGGGCTCAGATAAAGGACAAGACTTTTCATAGTATATTTTTCTGTAATCTTTAAATTTTGAACATTGAGAACATATTTTCTATTAAAACAAAGTGATTTAAAAAAATAAAACATTGTTTACCTATCTAATTCTTCCACTAGGCTCCATGCTCTAAAAGGGCAGGGGCTTCATCTGTCTAGTTCACTGGGTTTTTTTGTTTGTTTGTTTCTCTTTTTTTGTTATTGAGACAGGGTCTCACTCTGTTGCCCAGGCTAGAGTGCAGTGGCACAATCATGGCTCACTGCAACCTCCACCTCCCAGGCTCAAGCAATCCTCCCACCTCAGCCTCCCAGGTAGCTGAGATGATAGGTGTGTGCCATCATGCCCAGCTAATTTTTGTATTTGTTTGTAGAGAC